GAACTCGATTTTTATTTTGCTTTTCCTGCTGGCCTTGCACCCAGTGTTACCCGTTCCTTTATGAATCTTCATCCTTGTTAGGGAGACACTGGAGTGTGTGGCAGGGTAGGAGACCACTGAAGTTTGGGGAATTCCTACAAGCATTGGGATGTGACCACCCGTTGGCCCTCTGCCCCACTTGGTAGAACTCAGGAGAGGGTGTCCTGGAGATTCCTGCAGAATTGCCTTCCAGTCTCCTGCCTTGGTGACCCTCTCGGACTTGACAACACAGGGATTTTGTCAGTTCATCTCAAAGCTCCTGCTGGCCCCTTCTTTGCCTCTATCTGTCTTCCTCAAATCTTTCAGAAGATTGCATCTTGTAGTCCTCAGAGAACTCATTTGGGTAGTATTTTTTCTTTTGTTTTTCACCTGAGCCAAAAGCAAGTTTGGTATAGGATGGTATTGGTTCTCCAGAGGTTGTCACTATGAGATGTAATAAAGGCAGAATGACCTTTTTTTCCCATACAGAATCAAAATTCAGAGACTGATACTGAAAAGTTACTGATAAATAATAAACATTACTAAGTATTTTTTAAATCATACAAGTTAATAGAACATTATTGTGTAAAGTCCAAGAAAATCTGTGCAACCAATTGAAAACATTTTTCTCAGTAGCCATTCCGTAGTACTGTTAAGTATAATGGCGGGTAATTTCAGAATTGCAAAAGAATGGTATGAAATAAGAAAAAAAACCCAAGGTGTTACAGAGTAATAAATGAGCCATCAGCCAAAATCATTTACAGACGGCACCACTGGCCCGTATGAAATTCAGACCCGTAGGAAACTCCTGCATACACATTTGCATAATGAGTGTTGACCCTCATGTTTTAGTTTTGTCTCAAGTACTCAGAATGTGAAATTAGTAGAGCCAACCCCACACAGGCATTGTGGTTTTGAATGTTTCCAAAATAACTCACAAGTCACCAAATATAGTGTTAGGACCTCCAGAGAGAGAGAAACCCTTGGGGCTATCGTTGTCATTAAGGATGTCTACCTTCCAAGTGACAGCATAATACAACTCCCGGAGGACCAGAACATGACATGGGAACCCTAGAAGACAAGGCTGTCACTTGACAGCTGACTTGATTCAGAAGTACTTTAGTGCCTTTTGAATTATCACTTAAGTACTCTTGTAATGAAGTCTTACTGAGTTATTGTCAACACCCAATTTGGACGTACAGATAAGCCTAAGTCTGTAGGCTTGAAACAAATTGTATCCTCCTAGTTTGCTTTGCTGGCTTTTCTGTGCATCTCCTCATGTTCACCAGTCTCATTTGGTTTGATTGCTTGGGTTTTTTTGAGACAGGGTTTTCCTGTGTAGCCCTGACTGTCCTGGGACTCGCTCTGTAGACCAGGCTGTCCTTGAACTCGGAAGTCCGCCTGCCTCTGCCTCCCGAGTGCTGGAATCAGAGGTGCACACCACCATGCCTGCTAGTTTCATTAGTTTTAATTTCATTTCTAAGAGCTAGGGTAGAAATGCATGGGATAAATATGAGGTTTGCAGTTCAGGTGTATGTATGAAAGACCGGTCCTTATGTATTTTTTTAATCTAAAATTTTGGTGTGGAAAGGACAAAGGGGTAAGTATCGTCTTACTTGCAGTCCTTAACAACTAACATTGCTTGCTCACTTACCATGTCCTGAGTACAGCGAGAGCATCATCCCATCTGATCCTGCAACATCCTTAGTGCGGGCGGCAGGTTGTCACAGACCTCGAAGCTCAGAGGTCCTGTTTGGGGCTGTACAGCAGGCATGTAGCAGCACTGTGTCATCAAAGCCCGGGCTCTGGGCTTTGCACCCTCACTCCCTCAGACCATATATTGCTCACCAGAAAGGCCACACATCCCTGGGTGGCAGGGAATTCCCCATGTTCTTTTGAATTATTAAGTGATGACGACTGCTACATATACGTAGGTGCTTACAACGTTTCAAATGAGTAAACAGTGAGCACAGGCAGGCAGGAAGGGAGGGAGTGGGGAGAGGTGAGGGGGAGGGAGGGAGGAATGAAGTAGCAAATCCAATACTTCCTTGACTCTGGGTCTCCTTGTCTGAGAAATGGCATAATAAGGCGGGGCCACCTTACCCACAGCCTGAACCGCCACCCTAACCCGTGGAGAAAGCGTAACTTTGGGATGCTTGTATTTGAGACACATTTTGAGGTCAGAGTATATAGTGTCGCCTACATTTGACATCAGTAGCTCCAGGTGTCGTGGCTCCGCCAGCTTCCCTCTGCATACTGGGAGTTTCACCAGGCACACTGCTCTTGGCTCCATCACAGAGGTAGCTAGCCCCTTAGGCCTTCCATGACTGGTGTATAAGTAATCTGAAGTTGGTGCTCTCCTGGTTCAGCTTCTGAAGACTGGAATTTCAAAACTTTAAGAGGTTCTCCCAGGGTCAGACCAGTGCCCGTTGTCCCGTTTAATGCGTACTGATTTCAGAGCACGCGGCGTGAATGTATAGATGCCAGCTGTGTTTGCTCACTTACTTACACAGGCGAGATTGGTATGTTTTATGCCACAGTTAGGCGTTTTTAACAATTTGATCATTTTCTCAATACTATCGTGTACACAAACTGCCTAGGCAGGTTGTTAATGTCATGCGGTACCTAAGGACAGAATGAAACTTTTTCTTCTTTTTAAAAATAAAATAAAAACTTTTCTAACTGAAGTTAAAGTAAGGTTGCTGCTAAGATGCGCGATATCCTTTCTAAATAAGAAAAAAGGGTAAGTGACGTGTCAGGCGCGGGGCACACTTAGTGGTGACACCCAGTATGAGAGGTAAGAATTACAGGGTGACTTGAAGCATCCCTGTCAGCCCACATCTGCTGTCTCCTTTCGGGTGGTGGTTGACCCACCCAGGTGACCACTGTGACCCAAGCTTTGTCCTGGCTCCTGCAGAGTTTCCTGTGGGGATGCAGATGATTCTGATGGCCTTGAAGATTCTGCAGCCAACTCCAGAGTCCATCACTTTCCAAGAACTAAAAGCCTAGGTCACGCTGTAAACAGTAGCGTTCAGAGTGATGTTCCAGCTGCCAGTGAGAGAGGGAACTTGGTGCTTGGAGTTGGACGAATTCGCTTTCCTTTCCATTATTTTTGCGTCTCAGAAACCAAAGCAAAGTCCCATTTTTTGTCCTAGACCAGGAAGTCAAGGCTATTTGTAGGTTGTCAAGGTTGAGTACATGAGGGGTCCATCTTAGTAATTCTGTTTCAGTGTTTTTATAACTTTTCCCACAGTGAGTTACAGCAGTGATGGTAGATCTGTTAGTGGGTATTCTGCTGAGCACCAGTCAGACCTTGTAATTCTGTTCACCTGGACCTAAACAAACTCTTAGAGCACAGGAATAAGAAATTCAGTGTGTGCCCCCTCCCCCCCCACACACACATTAATTCTCTAGATTTAATGTGGAATGTGATTAAGCCAGAAAATCAACTATTTTTCCACACCACTTGGCTTTCTTGGATGTCTTACTTACTTAGGGGCTCCTGGTTCTGCCTGGGACACTGTGAAGATCAGACATTAGGCATGCCTTTACCTGTATGGGGTTAGCCAGCCACTTCACCTCAACATCAGGAATCTCAAACCATGCTCCCCCAACTCAGTGGAGGTCTGTGAGCTATCAAATGCGCTATCTCCCTTAGCACCAGGCTTCAGGGTTTTTAGGAGTAGTATAATTCGTTCTCATGAATGTTGAAGATACAGTTTGAGTCAAGCTGCCCTCCAAGTGAGATTTCAACTGGCCTGCCAGAAAATTCTGTACCAGGCACATATCTGGGTGGGAATTCCTTGAAACAAGGAAAAAATGTTTCCAGCCCCGCCTTGCCCATAATGTTCCTTACTGCTCAGTATCTCAAATGATTAAGCTACCGCTTCAGTAGTGGGGAGTCAAGGATAGTTTGGCTGACCCCCCTAGAAGGGCAGTAAAGTCAGAGGTGCCACAGAGTCACATGTTGTTAGCATTCTGCTGTATTACAGGGATCAGAACTCAGTTATGGGTGGCAGTGCCTCAGTGCCATACATGCTGCTATTATTAGTAAGCCAAGAATAATAAAATACTCGTAATAGCCTCAGGACTGCTAGGCATGCTGTTTCATCTTTTAACTCTGAATGTCCTGGAAATATATTCCATAAATGGACATTGAAATATAACTCAGTCTATTTTCTGCTTGTCCAAATAAGGTCATATGTTGGATGCCACATGACCGTGTATTACCCTAGGTCTTGAACCTAAGTGTCAGAACATTTCAGTCATGATTTTTTTTCTTTTCTCTGATCATTTAAAATATCTTGAGATATTTACAATAGTATTCAAATATAAGTGAAATGGATGTAAAAGACACCTCCATCTGACTAAGTAGGACTATCAAGAGTCTATGATTTTCAGAGTTATACACACATGTATTATGCACAGTCCATGAGTGGCTTTCTAGTTGTGAGATCTCCCACATATAATGTCAGCCATACAGGTGGGAGCCAACATGTGCAGAAGTCATTTTCCTGGGAAGGAGTGCCACCTGTCCTTGCTCGCAGGCAAGGCGGTCACTGCCGCTCCTTTCCTGCATGCTTGGGCCTTTTACCTTGCACCTGACTGAATGACACTACCAGGGTGATCGGAATGTTGCAAATACAAGTGACGGTGGCCCTTAACCTCTGAATTGTCTGGTGCCAGCCTCATTCAGAATTGCCGGGAGCTGATGCTCAGGCTCTGTCTCTGAGTCCCCAGATCCAGTGGTTGAAGCCCTCGACTGTTCCCTGTCTGAAGCAGCGTGCAGGGATGGGCTCTGCCCTGCTGTCCATCTCCCATACCTTAAAGGGTATTATTGCTAAGGAGCTCGTGGTTTTCTCAGGAAGATAATAATTGCATCCAATAGATCAGACCTGGCCTGCTAATTTTCATGTAATCAACAGAGGCAGGAAAACACAGTCTGGAATGCGAACTATGTGAATGAAAAATATTTAGTCATTCTTGAAATGATAGGAATGTTTTTCCAACAAGCTTAAATAAACACAATCTCTTTTTGAGACTGTGTTAAACTTTTTTTGGATAAGAGACAACTCTTGGGCAACCAAACAGAAGTTAATGAAGGTTATTAGGAGGCATGCCCTTCAGAAAAGGCTCTGACAGAAAGATTCCATCGCCCTTACAGTGTAGCTCATCAGGGAGAGACAACTGTTCCCTTGGAGCTTTTGTCAGCAAAAGGGGACTTGACATTTTAACTCGCAGAAACTAGTAGCCATGGTTTCCAACATCGACAACATTGTGCTTTCCTGACAATGGTGTCATATGACTTCTTTTAAAATCCTCACCTTCCTCTGCCACTGCTGTATACCCCAGCTCTTGGAAAAGGACTGTCCTTGGCATGCCTCTATTGAAAACATCCAGTGGCGCTTTTCCTGGGGTCATGTTTACTTACTGCCGTCAATGCTGCAAGGAGCCGTTGTCTAATGAGCTTACTTTGAAGCATAGCAGCACCTGCATGCTCAAGTGTCCCTGCTTTCAAAATAATTATGCAGGCAACGTGTAGGCCTGTCCCGGGAATATAATCGTCCAGGTTATGTTTTGATTCTTCTTTTCTGAGACTGGCTCGCACGCTTGCGCATCCTGTGGGATACCCTCGTCTCTGTATCCTCCGATTCTGAAGATTTACTAGACTTTCCGAAAGGGCGGAAGTCATTCATGTCAGAGTCTGGGGGAGAAAAACAGGTGATCAAGCCTGGAAAACCTCTTCAGAAAAAGTGAAAAGTGACAGTAAAATAAAGGTACTTTGCCTTCTGTGACACAGTAATTTGCTCAGAAAGTCACTGAAGAAAAGTTTCAAGTAGAACTTTTAGCATGAGCAGCATTTTGGCACAAGCATCTAGCCATTGGACGTGAGTACTTTTTATCAGTAGTACTTATTTGTAAGTACAGCTACTGACTTATTTATTTAAAAGCCTACCAGTTCACCTACTATGAGGCTCAGAGGCATGGACTAAAATGAGTGCAGGTGTTTCCTTCAATGTGATTTCAAATAAGTTAGACCAAGGTAGTTGCCTATAGAGAGAACCTTTAAAATAGACAGTGATCGATACAACTTAGTTTTAATAATTTAGGCTTTTGTTTCCATTTATGACTATCCTGTTTTAAGCTATTTCCAGGAACATTCTTCAGTGTGCCTTACAAGAATAAAATTATTTCACATCATCATGAGGGCTCGGAGAGAAACAGGATTCAGTCCCCGGGAGACGTCTCAAAGGCTTTGGTAGAGTGTGGTCCGTGCTTCATCTGAGTACTAAATAGAATGTCAACCATGCTATCAAGCATCCCTTGTGGCGCTGTGGTACTATGACAGGGGCAGGCTGAAGGGGAAGGGGTGTCTCCTAAGGGAGGTATTTTTCTACCTATAGATGTACTTCAGTGGCTGCCAAGTTGGTGGGAACAGCATCAATCTATGTGTCAACCTCTCAGATGTTCCCAGCATCCACTCCAAGTCTAGAGTTGAACTTTCATGTTGATTCAAGTTTAATGAGGTTTTATTGTTATTTGTTTTAGTGTGAGTTGATTATTCACACTTTGGCCAAGTTGTGATTTGCTCTTTGATTTTACTCTTGCATCTGAGAGATTGCCTGGATTCATCAGGTTGATTTGAAACAGAGCCCTCCCTGGACATCCAAACCCTTGGAGGCTACAGAATGTATGCTAAACTACCCTTCAGAAATAAGATTTGCCAAAAGGACTCCTGACCCCGATGTGTACCTGTAACATGTGCTCTTTCCCGCCAGCCACCTGGGTCCTGTGCTGTCTCAGCCCCCAAATAACACACGAGACAATATATTAATTATGAAGCAGGGGTGGGGAAGAAATTATGAAGCTGTTGGCCATTTGCTATGGTTTCTTAATGACTAGCTCTGAATTAATTATTAACCCATAATTACTAATATATATCTTATAAGGTCTTATCTTACCGAGAACACCAGACTTGCGTCCTTTCCTCCAGGGATCATATGGTGACTCCCTACTCTTGACAACATTTCCCAGAATCCTCCTCAACTCCTAGTCCCACTTATCTTGCTTCCCTATTGGCCAACAGTGCTTTATTTATCAACCAGTAGGACAACATATACACAGAAGGACTTTCCCCATCATGTACTGATATTAATCTAAGAAAATCTTTAGTCTTTGTGGACTCTTGGTAGTCTTGTAGTACTTGGGGTCTGCTTTTCAGTTGTGTGATGGAGCACATTTAAGAGTTGTTCATAACCTACCTCCTCACCTAGCACCAGACCTCACAAGGAGTGTTCTGAGAACTGACCTCATCTGTGACTGTGGCTTATTGTTTCTACTTATTGTTTCTACTTAAGATGCACCCAGAATCTTTCAAAAGATTTACTTCCTTTACATTGTGTGTATCCTGCGCATGCCTGTTAGAACCCCTAGAACTGGGGCTGTACATGGATGTGAGCCAAAGTGTGGGTACTGGGAGTTGAACTCAGGTCCTCTGCAAGAGAAACACATGCTCTTAACCGCTAAGCCATCTCTCCAGCCCTCTGTGCCTGGATTCTTAAAAGCATGTGTTCATTGCTGATAGAACTGAGATCTGTGTTGACTCAGTTGTGACATCCTATGAGCTCTGTTTGTGTTTGTGTGTCTGTGTTCCTGACCTGAGCCTTGCAGCATCCCACGCTGTGGAAAGCTTTCATTCTTGTTGGATGCCTGTTGCTTTGCGTAACAGCTCACTTTTTAAACAGTTTAGTGACTCCATTAGTGAAGCTAAAGTCAGTTTAAGATGACCTTAGGCTTTGAATATTCCTCAAATCTCCTCAAAATCATGAAATTGCTATCATTTCTGAGAACCAGGATTTTTTGTTTTTTTGTTTTTTGTTTTTTTGAGACAGGGTTTCTCTGTATTGTTTTTGAGCCTGCCCTGGCACTTGATCTGTAGACCAGTTTGGTCTCGAACTGAAAGAGATCCACCTGCCTCTGCCTCCTGAGTGCCGGGATTAAAGGCATGCACCACCAATGTCCAGCAAGAACCCAGTTTTTAAAAGATTCCACAGAGCTTTATGCCAGATCACTTTATTCGGAGTGGGGTTTCTACAGCCATGAAACCCAGAGTGAAACCATTAGTCTTTGGGCGAAATGCTCTGATACTTAGGCATGAAGCTACCAGTTGAGCATGCTCTCACACTGACGTAAGTTTGAGATTGCTGGCCTACTGAGATGAGATCTAATGACAGTTCTGTAAAGCTGGGTTTCCCACATCTCCTTTCCACTTGAGAATCACAGAACTGTTCGCAAATATACCAGAATCACTTGAATGATACTGCGGTGAGTCTAGCCTTGTCCCTGCAGATCTGTTAAGGCCCCCGTCATGAGAGGAAGAGCAAGGCCAGCCAGGCGTATCACATTGTTTCAGCTCACACCGGATGAGCTGCCAACTAAGAGATTTCTGTTCTCTTGGAGACACCATAGATGTGGCCAGTCCGACGAACAATGACCTCAGTCTGCCACTCAGCAAAGGTGAAAGGCGCCAGTGGCTGGTCACTAACGTGGTCCAAAGCTTACCAGACCATGTGAAAGGACATCACAGAGCCAGTCACATCCTGGATGCCTTTCTTGTCGGTAGAGATAGACAGTGATGCCTAAGTTACAACAGACAGGGTTGACATTGTGAAACCAGCTGTCATTCCACTTACCAGCTGCATTCTGAGTCCTGTCTCGTTAATTAATCAGTCTGTGACCAGGTCAAGCAGCATCATCACTGCTACAATCATTATAACAACATTATAACAAATGCTGTTGACTTAACTCATAGCCTGACTCCTGCGCACTGTCTGTCTTTGTAGCCTTGCAGGAACATTGTGAGACAGGGATAAGGACTGCTCCCATCTTACAGAGGCCCCAGGAGATTCATGTCACATAAGGAGAGCTAGTAATGGCTACGGGTTCCTGCCTCCAAATCCATGACTTCGGCACTGTTTCTCTTTGGACTCAAACTGCCAAAGAGAGAATGTGAGGGAATGGGGGTGGCGGATGTGAAGACACCAAAAGCTGTTCTTGTCCCTGGCCGCACTCTCACTGTTGAGGCTCAGCAACTGTTGTTCTGACATCCAGCTTGGCCTTTGATCTCGGGTTCTTGTCCTGAGCCTCTGCCTAGCATTCTGACCTTGCTGACTTAGCCATCAGGAAACTGACTGCTGCTCCTGCTTGTTTGGCAGTTGCTTCCTTCTGCTGCTCTTCTACCCAAGAATAGCTCTCGGCTGTGTGTTTTCCCTGACTCTCCCCATATCCTTGTCCAAACTTCAGAACACTTGACATTGGTGTGAGCTCTTTCTTTCCTCCTGAGTCGCAGTTGTCTATTCTTAATCAGATCATAAAATGTGCCCACACCTCCACTGCACTGAGTTCCTGCCCGGGATAGCCTCGTACCATTTTACGATTGGGCAACATCAAGAAAAGGAGTAGCCCCAGAAGTGATTTCTTGGAACATTTGAGATTTGGGGGTCCCAACTTGGTGTTAAGAATATGGGCATGAGCCGAAGGTGGAGATCACCGTTGCAGGAACCCAAGCCCCTTCCATGCATCTCATGATGGGAGCAGTTTCAGTTCCCATTAGTTCTCAGCATTGCAAGTCTGCTGAGTTCACGGCAACCCTCAGATCTTCCTCCCTGCTTCAGCGACTCTCCCTCCCTTACTAAGTACTGCTCATGTTCAAGAGATGAGCACCCTGAGAGACGTACTGTCCGATGCTCCTAAAAGGAAAGCATCAGAGACTAGGTGGGCCAGGGACAGTATCAAGCGTGCACACTTCTTTGTCAGGGAGTAAGTCCTGACTTAAGGTGTTTAGGTGTTATCCACCCTCACTGTTTGATCAGTAACTAACTACGTAAAGCAGACAACGTGCTGAGTACTGAGGTTGCCAACAGTGAGTGGGGCATCTTTCCTGTAGTGAGAGCCTCCTCTTCCTCCCTAGCTCTCGGCCGTCTCCCAAAGGGTGGGAAAGGCTATCAGACTAATGTAAAAGGTCTAGATTGTTCTTGGAACCCAGGAATACTTTTTTTGAGTTATTTCAATTAAGTTAATGGAAATGGTTTCCCTACTCTGTATAGGAATTTCTTTTTAATTCTCTTTTGTGGTCACTTAATAATAATCTTATAATCATACTACTGTCTTTCCCTATTAAATATGAGATTGGTAAAGGAAGAAAAATATCTCCAGTGGCCAAGATTCTTTTGCAAAAACATACAAAGTTAATATGGGTCTAAAATAAATAGATAGTTGTTTCTCTATCTGACCACAAAATAATACAGATCTTGGGAACATTTTCACACTATTCATTTTAAAATAAAACAGAGAAAGTGCTTGCCGATAAGTGCCACAGAAACTACAAGGATATAGGTGTTGTTATGAGAAATATACACAGAGGGGAAAGGGATGGCTTGATGTGGAGTGGCTGAAAGAATTTGAAACCTCCAAATGTCAATTTTTTTCCATGACTTAATGAGACTTTCTTAAGGACACATAAATATTCCATGGAAACTCCCACTTCCCGATTAGGGAATTTGTGTGCCCCGGCCATTTCTTTCTTTTTTTTTTTTTTTTTTTCTTCCTTTCGTGCTGTTCTCTACATTAATAGAGCTTCCCCTCTGTCTTCATTTGGGAAAATTTTAACTTCACTCTGTGTCTCTTCCCAGCCTGCACTTAATG